AGCCTAGCCTTAATCACCATTTCAAATCAATCAATTTGATGCAAAACTGCGAACAGCCCCTACTGCTTTGAGCTAATTCAACATGAAATCCCAGAGCCCTGCTGATCCACCTCACTGGAAGTAAACCAGCCAGTAATACTGACAATTGAGACATGGGACACACCACAGGCGTAAGAAACGCGGCTGGCCCAGACATAGAGTTATTTAATACGACTCGATTATGCAAAAGTATATATCAGCTAGCTAATAATGAACAATTACTGATAAATGGACTGCTCGGGAGTTGTATTACAAAGAATTGGATAGAAGACACGCAAAGAAGACAAATCATTGGCGACGCGCATCAAGCGGGCCTGTACGATCATGCGTTTTTGCAAACTTTGCTGCTGTAAAGAGATCGCTCCGAAACCCAGTAGCTAGAAATGCGTGATATACTGGTCCTCGAAGTCTGGGAAGTTAATTTTCTACACAATATTTGAACAGGAAACATTTCGCTGAAATTTCAGTTTTCTAAATTTTCTGGTTCGTGAGTAAGCAATTTTCCTGTCAAAAACTTCCACGAGGCCGTTTGTGACAACCACGCAAGCCTGGAGGCAGAGTTTGGTAAATTCAATTCGTACATGGGCTGGCAACATTATCCAAAAATTTCAGTCTCCCGGCTTTTCTGGTTCCCGACTTAGCATTTTCGCGCTAAAAATTTTCACGGGGCCGTATGTGAGTACCACACATACTGAGAGGCTGAGTTTGATAATTTCAAATTACATTTGTGCTGGGGACATTCCCCGAAAATTTCAGCCCTTCAGCTTTTCCGGTTCCTGAGTTAGCGATTTTCGTGCCAGGAACCCTCACGGGGCCATACGCACACACACACACACATACACACATACATACACACACATATCGGAGTTGTCATAATATGCGTTTTTGCATCTGCATATAAGCAAAAATGCACAAAAAGCAAAGAGACAAACTGATGCAGGTAGATAAACGGATACAGCCTCCGATGCTAATTTTTAAGAATATAAGGGGCAAACCGAAAA